TGACTGGAGGGCATTCCTTCCCTCCCTCGCTCCCTCAAATTTCTTTATTATGCAATAGCCATAGCTCTCCAGACAGTTCTCAACATGTTAAAACATCATATAAAAACCTTGACATACAAAACAGTTTGAAGCAAAAGCACTTAACATTAACACTCCCAGGACCTGATTAAAAAAGCAGTAAGACTATTAAAAACCCATCATATGCTATCAAATACCTGGAAGCAAAAGAAAGCCTTAAAATAGCATAATGTCAGGACCCAGTGAACCACCATGAGAAAAGCAGTCCATCTCAGAGGGGCACCACTGCAAAGGTCCTCCTCCTTGTTGCTGTTCTGCAAACCACCTTGGCAGGAGCTGCTCAGAGGGGGCCGGGGTTCCTGTGTTGATCGTAGGCTCATCCTGAGAGAAGAGCTCTGTCAGGTTAAAGCAGAGCACAGGGGATTTGAGCCCAGGTCTTATTTTTTCCTTTCAGAAGACCACTTAAAACTCAGGGTCAACATTTCCCCTAAGGTGATTCTGAATATTGAGAACCCCATGTACAAAGTTCCTTGATAAGAGGTTGTTCTCGGGAGGGAGAACCCTCCTTCTAAAAGAAACCCTGTAAAAGAAGTTGCCTTGAAATCTTCCATTCTCATAACATTATTTACTGACATGCACACACCAGTATATTTCATACTTAGTTTAAGTTATTTCTCCTAAGCTTTTCAATATTCCTGGTGAACCAATAAATAAGAATTTAGGCTGTACATGCACTTATATAAATATCTATTACTATCTGAAAAGGAGCTTGACAAGATTAAATTCTGATTGAGACAAATAACTCTCACTCATAATTTCAACAAAACCTATTTTCTGGATGACTGACACCTTCTTGACTTCGATTTAGTACTCAAAAACAGGAAGCATGTTCGATGCAGACATCCCAAAGGAACCTAGGCTTCCATGACTACCTGGAAATATAATAACTGGTACTTTATTGTTAAGATTAATTAACATATGATTTAATTTAGTTGACCTTCAAATGTACAATTACTCTTTTATTAACTTGTAATGAATTAGAATTAATTCATTATGTGTAAGGGCTGCATAATCTGACAAAACACTATCCCCGCTCTCCGTTCTGTTTGATCAGGGCACTGAGGAACTGACAAGGAAGGGGATCACTGCTGATGTGATACAGAACCTTTCTCTCCCAGAGTATGCATCCAAACTCGCCTCTGGACAGGTATTCTAAGCATCAAAAATATCCTATACTTATCCAGGTCTGACTTGTGATAAAGGATATAAATCTGCTTTCTCCAGTATCTTGGAAAGCATCTCTCATCATTTTCACCCAGCAGAGCAGCGTATAAAGATTATGAAAAGATATTTATATGCGTGGACATATCCAGAAAATAGGCACAAAGTCTATGTTGATAATGATACCAGTGGCATCGAATGATATCAACGATGCTGGAACATATTTAAACAGAATTTAAACTGTGCCATTGATACACTAGATTGTTGTTATTTTAAAGAAATCTTTTAAATGGAAGCCAATCAACCTGCTCAGCATATTACTAAATATTCAAGATTATTCTTCCTCTGTAATTTGGCAATTTAAACCTCTATCCCTGTAGTTCTTTTTAAAGAAAAAACAAGGTTTTCATGATTCGCCAACAGGTTATACACTTATTAGATTGAATGAAGAGGCCACTGATTAAGGTTTCAAAGATTGATTTTGTATGCAAATGAGAATAATATTTAACCTTATGTTGTTACTGGGAAGACCGAAAATACAGAATCCCCATTTGGCATTATATGATCATTCATCACCAGTGCTAACGACAATGAAGCTCTGCTAGCATAAACCAGTGCATTGGTAGGGCGATGAGAGAAAGCAGCAATCCGCCACTGAGATCTGGTGGCACGCTGTCTTTTCCTGTTGCTCTGTCAAGCGCCAATCATACTGAGCCAATGTCGCAGCATGGTTAGCACTAGCACTGGGGCACAGTTTGGTTATTACTCCAAATCTTAATTTCTCCTTAAATGTTTTTGCCCCTTCTGTAAAGGTTTCATTGGTCCCACTAAAGCCACCGTTACTTTTCATTTCCCCCCTTAATGGACCAGCACAGCCGCTTGCATGCGTCTTTTGTCTGGTTTGACTAGACATTGTGATAAGGTCTGCACTTGCCTTGGAGAGTTGGAATGCATGTGTGCCTGCTTAAGCAGGACTTGAGTTGACAAGGAGAGTTCACAGAACTAATTGGATCTTGCTGTGAGGAGACAGATCAGATAAATATCATTAGTAGGTAGTGGCCAGGGATCAGAAAATCAGAAGGCTCATCTCCAATGCAGGAAAGCCTTGGCGGGCAGGTTGCAGAGACGGCAAGACACATCTGTGGGGAAGGCAGGCAGCAAGAGGAAGAGGAGACAGCTGAGAAGCATCCTCTTGGGACTGGCTGGGGCAAACACTGGCTCTCTGGCAAGGCCGAGACTGTTTATTTTATAGAAAATAACATTTATGGATATATGGTACAGAATCAACCCAATCTCTCTTTCCTGTTGAGCTTTAGCACTCTTTGCTTCATGAGCCTCACCTTGAACAAACTATAATGTGGTTGGCATGGAAGACTCCCATCCTTCTTTTACATCCTGCTGACTGGCACAAGGAGGTATCTCCTTCAAGTTCTCTTTTACACTTGAGGAGAAGAAAAACTGGGTCTAAAGAAATACTGAATCAGTGGGTACTTTTGCCACTCTTCCAAGATTAAAGTCATGCTAAAGATACCCTCAGTCTTTGTTGAAAAATGTTTCTAAGAATCTAAGAAATAACAATACTGATAGAGATACTGTGGATTCTGAAGGCTGGAGAGCTATGCGAGGTAGAAATACTTTACACAGATTCCTGTTTGGTGATATGGCTTAAATGTATAGTAGTGGCAAAATACATCTGCAAGAGTGGTGTTCAGCCTTCTGACTCATATCCCTGGCTGCTGCTTTTAGGAGTAAGTTTGAAATTCACAGTTAGACCCAAGCTGTGTCCTGTAAAAGGACCAAAGGACACCTCCCTTGGCCCTTCTTTCATCACATTGTGCTGGAAGAAGGCATCACAGGGCAGCTAAAATGATTCTGGTCCTGATTCAAACCAGAGGGTATTCTAGAGATGAAGGCACATAATCAGGGCCTTTGGGATTGTATGGCCTTTCCTGAAGAGAAGGAGCTTCTTATCTGTGCATTGCAGAGCCTGATAATGAGGATTTTGACTTGGGAAGTTTGGAACCACTTGCTTTGGGGCATAGTATTGGATCTTTCCACCCAAGTGGCTAGACTCTGTACTAATTCATAATAGGGAAATGTTACTTGTGAACAGTGGGACACGAGGCCTTTTTTGGGGCCTTGCTGTAGCATGAATTCTAAGAGGCAGGAGGAGCAGCCCCACTGCAGGGGAAGCCAACAAAGGTATGGCTGCTGTTGGGGTGGAAAAGACATGTCACCATTTTGTATTGACAAAGTTGGGGCCTGCAAGTGATGGGAACATCCTCCTGAATTGGTGCAAGCTTGAAAGCCTTCTTCAGTTTGAGAATATCTGCCAAAGTTTGCATTTGTTTTGCAGCTGCAAACTGATATTCTCAAACTGAAGTAAGCTTTCAAGTTTTGTAGTTTGTAGGCTGTACAGAAAAGCTGAATCAATTGGAGGAGAGGAAGAGAAACAGTCCTTTTTGGAAGGAGATAGCCAAGCAGGAATGGAGACTAGATGCCTGTCAGCACCTGAACCCCAAGGATTGAAATCACCTTCAAGGTAGTATTTGCTTTACAACTTGCTTGCCCAGATAAAAGGCAAGCAACGACTGAGCTGAATGGAGCATTTTAAATTTCACAAATAAGGAACTGAGGGATGGGGAAGAGAAACCCAACCAAAAATATCAACACCATAAAATTAGCTTTATCACTTAGACTTACAGCATTATGAACATTACTTACTGTAGCTGAATTTATAAGTGTGCATTTTATAAATAGTTCAGATGTTGATAACAGAAGCTTAATATGAAGATAATCTGCAAGTATCCATTATAAAAATATTTTAAAAATATATTTCAGAAAATAAAAGGCAAAAGTTCACCATTCCCAGAGAACATTCAGAATAACTTTTACAATAAAAAGAATCCTTACAGATTAAAACATGAACACACACACACACACACACACACACACACACACACACACACTTGAAGGTTGAAACCTTAAACATGAGGATTTCTGCTTTGAATAATCTGTTTATCAGCAACTATGAATTGGTAAATCACGTTCCTCACCTATCTCCCACATACCCAGAAGAATTAAAAGAAAGTGCAAGCAATTAATGGTGTGATACCAAGCAAGAATGAAGAACAGTATGATTCTGTGCCTCTCTACTTGCTGAAAACCAACAACATGACAAGATAAAACTCAGCTGGAAGCATTTAAATTAGCTGGTCTCTCTGTTTTCTAAACTTGCAGTCATTTGTCCCCCCTCTGGTGACTTTTAAATATTTAATTGTGGCTTAAATGATCAGAGTGCCCAGCACAGTTTACACAAAATAAATATGATTTTTCCTCTCTCAGTTGTGCCTTCATTCTCCAACTTTGCATGATCTTTCCTTTTTTTGCCATTTTGCAATGGAGGTAAGTGAAGTGTTCCACTGTGCCACTGATAGAGACCTGCATACATTTCTCTGTGTGAACATTCCCACACATATCTGCGGCAGAGTTTCCTATGAACCAGAAGATACTTTTTGAAATGGAAAATCCATAATGGTTGTAGTTGAAAATGCATGGCATTGATCCCCACTGGCACAGCTACAATGCCAAGTGGTTCATTAAAAAGGCTTTTCTAAAAGACATCCCAGAAGTGTTTATCTGACATCTGGCCTTTAAAGTTTGAGTTCAGGTTTTCCTAGGCTTAACAGAAAATACTGCTTCATAAAATCCCCTTTGGGGATTTGATCCTTCTTTTAAAAGCCAGTTTTGTTATCTTGTACCTTTTTCCTTGCATAGGTTCTCTCCTCCATCTGTTGAACTGTTTGTAGCTGTCAGTTTTGCCTCATCTGTTTTTTTTAAAGAGAAAAATTATACGCATTAGCTTACAATTTGAATTTAGTAATGCTCATAAGCTGTCACACATGCTCTCGAATGCATAAGTTATTCATTCATTAGGTAGGCCTTTGTACTTCGCTTCCATTGGACAATGACTACTCTGCAAAGGTAAACAACCTTGACTCCAATGTGGATGCACATGAGAGGTCCACAGACCGTAACTATTCTGCTTCTTACACCAGAATAGTTCTTACACTATTCTTACACTTAGTAAGAGCTTACTAGTTCTAGTTCACAGCATTCTTAAATAGCTTTCTTTTTATCGTCCATTGTTTGCTTGGCATGATGGAAATATATTGCCCATGTTCACACTGAGAAAGATGTTTATTCTGATATTTAGAGCAGTATCTAATGGGGTTGCTGCATAAGCTGGTTTCATTGCTCAAGCAGGACATGCTACAAGTACTTGTGCAATGAAGATTTAAAGCTCCGTATAAGAAACCCCAAAATGAACAGAAACACTCATTTCTGGATTAAGACAGATCAACACGGCTAGATTCACTAGCTGTTCAGGTCGCACAGCTGGCTGTTTCTAGGCTGTCCCATTCCAGAGATTTAGGTTTCTGCTAATTTCCAGCTATTCTAGAAGCACTACATCTCCATAACTCAATCCTCTGTTATTCAAATGAAGAGAGAGACTTATCTGTGGTGGCACCCTGACTTTGGAAGACCCTCCTGCTGGAGGTATACCTGGTGCCAACACCATATACTTTTCAAAGGCGGATTTAAATATTTTTAATGGCTAGAAATGGTCAATTTGAATTCAGCCTTTGCTTTAGAGACCACAGCCAAGCCTCTGACTTAGTGGATTACAAGGAGACTATGGAAGGTCTTGAAAGAAATGGGTGTGCCTCAGCACTTAACTGTCATGATGTACATAACCTGTATTGTGGAAAACAAGTTCTAGGATACAATATGGAGAAACAGAATGGTTTCCCATAGGAAAAAACATCAGACAAGGCTGTATTTTATCTCTTTATATGTTCAAATTGCATGCTGAAAATATCATAAGAAAGCTGATCAGGATCAGAGGAAGAAGTGAAAATTGGTGGAAGATGCATCACTAATTCAAGATGTTCAAATAATGCTACATTACTGTGGAAATCAGCAATGACTTGAAAAAACAACTGATGAAAGTGAAAGAAGAAAGTAAAAAAGCAGGTTGTAACTGAACATTAAGAAAACAACAATCATGACTACAGAAGTATACAACTTTACTGCCAAGAAGGAAGAAATTGAAATTATGAAAGATCTTGCATCCCTTGGACTCAATCATCAATTCACAGAGAGACTGCAGCTATGCAATTCAAAGAAGACTGAGACACAAAAGGGCAAAAATGAAAGAACTAGAAAAGATAATCTCATGTAATGACTTTTCACTGGGGAACAAGGTCAAGATCATCCACACTACTGTATCGCTGATCACAATGTATGGGTGTGAAAACTGGACAGTGTGCAAAGCTGACAGGAAGAAAATTGAGATGTCTTGAGACGTGGTGCTGGAGGAGAGCTTTGGAAATACCCTGGACTGACAGAAAGATGAACAAGTGAGTCATAGATTAAATGAAACCAGAACTCTCCCTAGAACAAAAATTACAAAACTGAGGCTGTCACCAGCGAAGACAATCATGCTAGGAAAAGCTGAAGGCAGAAGAAGCAGCTGCCCAGTATGAGATGGATTGACTCCATAAAGGAAGCCACAATGTTGACTTAGAAGAGCTGAATGCGGCTGTCATAGGCAAGGTATTTTGAAGGGCTTTCATTCATGGGGCTGCCATAAGTCAGAGATGACAATGGCCCACAACAACAGCAACTGTATATATATTTTAAGCCGGTTGAAGTATCTTAGTGTCTCTCAATTTTACTGTACTGGTTACTGGTTTGTACAGTTTTATTTAATATTTCATTTTTGTGGATAACATCCTGAAAACTTCTTTGAGTGAAGGTCTATAAAATATAATACTAAATAAATAAATAAGATGATTTTTCTTACAGTAACCTTAGCATACTAACAAAAAGTAGGCTTCATAAAACTTTATATGCACACTAATATGTTCTTGAGTGAGCAATGGCACCTCCTAAGTGGAGTCATCATAATCATCTAAAAAATGTACTTGAGTCTTTTTTGTTCATCAGATATGCCACTTGCAGCATAATGGTGCCAAATCAAATGTTCCAAATGGTGCAGAAAGTGCAGGGTAGAAAGAAGCAAATGTGGCATGGAAAAGCATTAGAACATGGCACCCAACATTCACATTCATGACAGGATTTATGAGATTTCCCACTTACAGATAATTAGATAGCTCTGGCTGTAGGGAAATCTTGGCAGGAAGAGGAAGCAGTACCTGCAAGACCTCACGTGGCCTTCCTTATATGGGGAAACATATGCAACGCACATTTTGACATGAAATGAAGGTGAGGGAATGTCCTAAAGGGGGAAAAACCCAACAGGGTAATGAGTCTGGAGCAACCCGACCTATGCAAAGACCTATGCAATCTTTGGGCCTTTTTTAAATAAGCGGAAAGGTGAATAAAGGGGTACATGACAGCTGCATTTAAAGTTCTGCATGGTGTGAGGAACTGGATAGGGAGAAGTTTTTCTTCTAAATGAGGGAAAGTCAAGGCCAACAAAAGAATTTTTCACAGTGCACAAAGTGTAGTACTACGCTGCAAGATGTAGTGATGGTCTCCAACTTGGACAGCTTAACATGGAGGCAAAGGCAATAAATAGGTCTTAGTCATGATGGCAATATGCTTCTGAATAATCCCAGTCACTTGGAAACATGAGCAAAAGGGTGTTGGTGCACTCATGTCCTTCCTGGGGGCTTCCATGAGGCGTCGAGTTGGCTCACCTGGAACAGAATGCTGGAATACACAGCCAGAGGGTCTGAGCCAGAAGGACTCTTCTTATGAACTTTCTTCTGACATTTCAAGAGTTGCAAGTAAAACAGTCAAGGAGAAAGGTCTTATAGATGCGTCATGGCCCAAACTCCAGTCACTGAAGGTCTGGCCCTGTTTGCCAGAGCTCTTATTTCAGACATAAACCAAAAGCTCCCTCCTAATTTTCAGTTTTGATGTGATAAAATCCACATGATCTGACTCTTTAGCTGTTGCTTTGGTAGAGTGGACACTTTACATGACCCCACATGCTGAGATCTGAGACTTAACGGCTCCTGGAAGTAAAATTTCTGGAGTTTGGTTAAGCTTAAATCTCATCATATTGGGGTAGGGGTGCGGGCATTCCAAAGAGAAAAAAATCACTGTAAAATAACTGCATCTAATATCTATTTCTAATCATTGTGATAACATAGCTATCGTTTTAAAAAACTGACCTTGGACTTGAATGAGGGTTCCTGCCATCTTTTAAAATGAGGAGGTTTATTTACATTATCCCAACGAACAACTGAGTGCATGACTGCACATGCTCAAATGCTTGCTAAGCAGGCATAAAAGAACCATGATAAAAGATGGGCAGATAAAGAAAGCCAGTTTAAATCTGAATGCTTCAGGAGAACATTGCAACTGTGGTGAATAAACAGCTGAATAATCGGAGTCAGCGGAATTCTATGGTGGAATAGTGATAGCATTTCATACACAGTTCTTCTCCTGCAGACCATAACAAGGGGTAGGGATGGAGGGGATTTTGCTGTAACATAAATTCAACTCTTTAGAAACAGCCACAATGCAGTATGCACAGACAAAATGACTGCGTAATGTAGGCTGGATGGTTTGGCTGCTTCGCTCTGCTGCGTTGAGTGATTGGCCCTCTCCTGCTGTAGCTTCCAGGTATTAATAAAAGCTTTCAGAGCTGAGAGAAAAAGTTTTCACTAGAAGATGGGTCATGCTACTTGAATTAAGTATGTGCAAGCAACAGAATGTACCATTAGTGCTGCTTAGGAGGGCAGAGAGTATACTCTTCAAGGTATAATAGAACACATGCAGTATTAAGAATTGCCTTTTTAATTAAGGAAGGGCTTCACAGCCATTTTTACTTGTCCCTTTAATTACTTTGATAGTTTGGCTCAAGTTGTCAATTTTTTCTGACGATGTCACAGCAGGTAAAATCCATACCACCACCAAAAATCGGAACATCACCCAAAACCAGAAAAAAGACAATAATCCATTCTGAATTCAGCATGTTTTTCTGTTCAAAACTGTTCACTTTTTAAGGTACAATTCAGAATAAACATATTTTCTTCATAGCGTTGTTTTATGAGCTTGGATCCTCAGGTGGAATAGATTTGAATTTTTGTCCACTGGCCCTTTCTGAAAGACGTATTCCAATTTGAAAATCACTGTGCAGAAAATAGTTATTTACAAGGTAAATATACACAATAAAGATATCACACTGCAGTCTTCTTAAAGACTGAAGAGATCCTTTATTTCCACAAGCTCATTTTTTTCACATTCCTGTCTTCCTTTGATGTGTGAACCTTATACAAGACTGCCATAAACATTTTCCATTTAAAGGGTTTCTAGGATCTATTCCACCTTAGGAAGTGAACACGCTGTCAGTTACTAACAAGAATAACTACATTCCTGGGCTAGAAGAAATACATTCATTCATAATGAATAGAGCTCTGGTCTCCAATGGGAGAGCAGAACAAACCCTGACTTAATCTGGTGAAAATGTACAAACGTGTTCCGTCAATAGCATTGACTAGGATTACTGTTCACCAAGGTAAAGGAAGCCTGGTGACAGAAGGCTTTAATGGCATTCAGGACAACACGAACCTGCTTCTTGCCTCTGACTCTCAATTTCGTCAGTGCTTGGCTTAGCTTCAGTGTCGTTGTCATCTACCAAACAAAAAACAGCAACCAAAAAGTTATTTAACATACTCTCTTACTTAAAGAGGCAACATAGAAATGAACTGTAGCAACTATGGAAAGTTTATGCCCAATGATGAAGAAAAGTAGCATTTGACCAAAAGTGAAGAATTACTGAAAGTAATCAATGCGACTTAATTTAGTCATGACTAATGCCAGTCCCATAAATTTTAATGGGTCTTCTCCAGGCATGACATACATCTGGACTTAAGCAACTCATCGTTAATGTTTAACATCCATTTCTCAAATAGTACGGCAGATTCAAAGATTTCTCAAAATTAGATAGCAGTGTCTTTAAAACCAGAAATCTTCTAATATGAGGTACAATTACCAACTCCCCAGAATCTCATAAAGTTCACTCCTTAACATGGAGTGAACAGAAGTTGCATCTCCAGATGTCTGGACCTTTAGCTCTCAAAAACCCTTGCCAGCACTGATAATGGTCAGGAATGCTGGGCGCTGAAGTCCCGAGCAACTGCCGTTTTATTTTCTGCCCACTCCTGCTCTAACAGACAGGCGGATTTGTATCTGTGGTTTCTTTCTATGGGCACAGATCCAAGCCTGGCTTCCTGCAGAAGTGGAAGATGCTTCAGTACACGACACTGGAATATTACACATTTTACCCAGCTGTAGCCTGCCCCTTCCTCCATGCTATTCCAGAGAATCCCCCTGTCTTCAGGAGGAAGATGCTGGAGGAGGAGACAAAAGCATTTCTGCATTGAGTAGAAACACTTTGCACAGTTTGGGATCCAAGCCACTGTCTTTCTGATGAAAAATAATAAAACAGATAATTCTTGAAAGCATCTTAACATCTCTACAGTTTCAAACACGAGAAACTTATTAAAATCATGGCTGTGTAGCATGCAGAAATACTGCATCGGACTATCAAGGTTTTTTGCCTTCTACCTGAACCCTTCCAAAATGCTTCATATATGATATAAGAAGCATGACGAATGATCTCAAGGTTGCATGAGGTGGCACTGTGGAACAAGATACAGCACTGTGGCCAGGTTACCTTTGCTGGAGCAGCCTTTCTGGCCTCCACAGATTACATTTCCCCTCGTTTCCTGAATCCCAGATAACAAAGCAGTGTTTCAGTATGAAGATCCCACACAGAGAGGCACCAGCTTCTCAAACTACACTGAGAATGCATCAGGCAACCTCAGTTTCAGCAGTCCAGAGCTCCTAAGTTGGGACGGCCATCTCCATAAAACTGCACACTGATTGCATCAACAATGTTGCCAAATATACACAGAACAAACACATGCATACTACGAATCCGGTCTAAAATGGAATGCTAGAAACTTATCTGAAAAATGAACTGAGTAAAATTCATTTCCAGATGCATACCAGCTGATCCTGCAAATGGTTTGGTAATGTTCGACATCAGTCCTGTTCCTCTACTGTTGTGATTGTATCTCCTGCTCTGCATCATTTTCAGCACTGCAATTTAGATATGCGATTCCTTTACCATCTAAAATGTCCTAACATCCAAAAGCCCAAAGTTTCAGAAGACTGTGACAAAATACTGGGAGAGAAGAAGAGGAAGGAAGGACATCTACTAATTTAATGTGGTGCGCCCCATTAAAGGTTTTATTATTGTATAGCAAACAAGTCATTTAAAAAAAATCTTGCTTTTGTTCTTTCCCTACTATGCATATTAACAACCAGAAGGTGGCACTGGTGTAGAAGCATTTCCTTTCCTTTCTGAACTACAGATCCTGCAGTTACGATGTTTCCCGATTGGAGACTGGCACTGGGGGCAAGATTCTCAACTGGTATAAATTAGTGTCAGTGTATCACACTTGGTGGAGTCATGTTGGAGACCCTGAACCTTTACCTGGCTTGTAACATCTCATACTGATTTCAACCAACCCAAATGAACAGAGAGCTATAGTAATTTCTCAGTACTTCAGTGGGCTTTCAACCTGTAATCCATCCATCCATGAATCCATCCATCCATCCGTCTGTCTATCCATTGTATCCCACATTACACAGATGATCATAAGCCTTCAATAAATCAGTATTTCTAGCACTCTGCGACTGGAAATGTGTAGGAAGTTAAAGTAAATCCACATGAGAACATAAATATTTCTTTTGTACTTCCATGAAGCATTATTTATGCCAACATTTTTAATTGTGTCCTACTGCATTTTTCACCAGTAGCACTTATAAGAGAGTGTTTCAGCACGGCTGAATTCAAGCATTCTGACTATAGATTTGCTATACTTTGTTTGTTTGTTTAATATTGTGCATCTCAACTGAGTAGACTCACTTGAGAAGACAAGCATGCTAGGGAAAGTTGAAGGCAAAAGAAGAAAAGGAAGACCAAATAAGAGATGGATTGATTCCATAAAGGAATTTACAGACTTGCATTTAGAAACCTGAGCAGGGCTGTCCTGGATGCCACATTCTGGAGAGCTTTCATTCATTGGGTTGCCATAAGTTGGAGGTGACTTGACAGCGCATAACAGCAACAGCTTAGTTGGGTGGTTCACAGCTCTGCAGCCCTTGCATGATGCCAGTTTAGGCACTTTGGACAGTCGCAGAATTGGGGAGGGTGCAACACAATGGTGATACATAAGCGCAATCTTCCAGTAAAGGAATAAATGCCATTGTGGTGTGGCATTCATCCAAACCACCCTTCCCCAGCCTGCTGTCCTCCAGAGGAACTACAGTTCCCAGCATTTCTCACTATTGGCCATGCTGGATGCAGCATTTTTAGTTTGCTGGCAGATAAGCAATGTTATCTGCCAATAGTAATCTATTGGTATTGGCCAACTCTGCTTGGATTACTGTAACACGCTCTACATGGGGCTGCCCTTGAAAACGGTCCAGATACTGCAACTGGTACAGAATAGAGCTGCCAGGCTGCTGATGGGGACCGGCCATTGCTTTCACATAACGCCGGTCCTCTATCAGCTTCACTGGCTTACAGTTGAAGTCCGGGCCCAATTCAAGGTGCTGGTTTTGACCTATAAAGCCCTAAACAGCTTGGGACCAGGATACCTGAAGGAACATCTCCTTCCTTATATGCCCTCATGCCCCTTAAGATCTGCGAGAGAAGCCCTGCTCCGGGAACCCTCTCTAAGAGAGGTAAAAAGGTCATCAGCTCAGAGTAGGGCCTTCTCTGCTGTGGCGCCCAAACTCTGAAATGTACTTCCCAGAGAGGTATGCCTGGCACCAAGTTTATACTCTTTTTGGCACTAGGCCAAATCCTTTTTATTTAAACAGTATTTTAAAATTTAACAACTTTTAACCTTCAGTTGCTCTGTTTGCTTTGTGATTTATTGTTTGTTCTGTTTTATTATTTATTAGAAATTGTTGTTTTAATTGTTCTTTTAAATATTGTAAGCCTTCCTGAGATTCTGTATAATAGGATGGCATACAAAAGCTTTTAATAAGGGTTAAACAAGTATTCTGTCAATGCCAAGGCACTCTCTTGGCAGATTGTTACTATCAGTGTGAAACAAATGACTATTTCTGGCTAATTCCAAGCATATCACCTGAATGGGAACAAATGTCACAGAAGATAAATAAGTCCAAAGTGGCGACCACAACCCAGAATGCTGTGTAGAGACATTTCAGCCGTCAGTGACACAACAATAGTTTTCGATTTTCTTACCCATCCAGCAATGCAGACTCTCTTTCTCACACAGGCGCACACATGCATGGTTCGGCTGAGAATGAATATACCCACTTTGAGCACCTGGAGAGACCATGTCACTATTCACTGTACCTTTCAAAATTGTTCCAGGACATGATACTATGTATCATGGCCATTCACAAGACTGGTAAGCAAAAAACAGAGGGAGATGTACATCTTTGTAACACCCAAAATTTCACATAACGGTCTCAGAGGCACGAGTGACGGTGCCTCCCTACCCGAAGCACTGGTAGATGGACACACACCTGACCTTTTCTTGATTAAAAGAATCACTTTCTAACTGCACCTCCACAAAGCTATAAGAACATCACCTGGGAAAAGTAGTGATAGAAGCTGCACAGCTATTCAAGTAATGCTCGAGGAAATTATTCTGTTGTGTGACTTTATTAAACTGCACTAGAGATTAAATCAGCAGCATTAACATATGCAGTGTGAAATGCATTATGTCATAAAATGATACCAAAAGCATATGGCTAAAGGGAATTATTTGGCAATGTATAGACAAGGGGGTAGGGTTAGTGGATCAACAAAGGAGATGAAAATAGAGAGATAGGGAAGTTATATGGCAATACTACGCAGCTTTAAAGAAGCCCCTTTTCAAATCTCAACAAATATTTAAAAGAAAAAAACATGTTTGCAAATGACAGTCTCTCGCTGAACATCTTTTATTGATGAAGAACCTTTTCCTAATGACTTCTGTCTACCGACACTAGTAGCAAAGCAAATGGAAAGGTTTTAAATAGTGCATGTCTCAAGCAAAGAGGCAGGAATATGTATCTGTTCCCTGGCTTTATTTTCCCCCTCTCTCATTCATTCTCTAGCAGGCAATGGAAAATCCAAACGTATTGCCTGGCATCTGTCCTGATGACATACTAGTAATAAAAATATCTTTTTCCCCCTTTGCCTTCAGCTTGACAATATCTTCTGTTCCTTCTCCCTGCTACAGTAGGGTGTAGAAATTATATATTTTTTTTATTTAGGTGACAATTGCCTCACAAGATCTACTTCTCACTGCCTTTTAATGATGATTGATCTGTAGTCATCCGTCATCTCTTCTGAATGCGATAGCAAATGCAGTGCATGACACCGTGTGTCATTTTAGACTCACAAATGTAAAAGGTTCCAAGCTATATCCATCATCAAACAGAAACATCTGTCTGCCCTTCTGAGGAGAAAGAAACAATTTAAAAACAGGAGCCTGCACGTTATGGCAGCGCAGCACAGATGAAATAAGCACAGCAGCCACTGGATTGCCGATTGCTGGCACAGGGCTTTGTTTTCCTTCCTCAGACTGGCCACTGAT